TGGGTGGTGAGCAATTGCATTGTGCATCACTTGCTTTGTATATTCTTTTATTATTATTGTTAATATTATTACTATTTTATTTTATTTCAATTATTAAACTGTTCTTATCTCAACCTCAAAAGTGAGAGTTTTCTCACTTTTACTCTTCCGATTCTCTCCCCCATCCCACCAGGGGGGGGTGAGCGAGCGGCTGTGTGGTGCTCAGTTGCCAGCTGAGGTTAAACCACGACAGTGAACTCAATTCATCTAGCAGCTGTCTGGAAAAACACTCATCTTGCCTGATGTAAAAATGAAATCTGAGAAGTTCTGCATCACACACAATGTTACAATCATTTTGAAAGCCCTCCATGTCAACAGGACTGACCAAGTCCTGATTTCCCATACAAACTACAGAGAAAGAGAGAAGAAATGTGGAAGATGACTGACAGACTGCAGTAGTGAATACAGATTCCGAAACACAGCAGCTCTGTCTGCTGCAGTGCAATTTAAAGGACCTCTATTTTGCTGCATGATATGACAGTTGTCTTTTGCCATTTTGGGGGCAATTCTGGAAATATGGTGATAGCAGAAGAGCCCAATCAGCAAAAGCAGAGTAGTCCAGGTGCCAGTGAAGTTTGAATCTTTCCACTGACGTTAATTCAGATTGAACTGGATTCTTTCCAGTCCCTCCTGGATCCTCTTCCTACTTCATGATAACTCAAGGAGATGCACCATAATCTCCAAGGCAAATCTCCTCTGATCTAGAGGATGGGCCAAACTTCAGGCCCTCTACAGGATAAGGGCATCCAGAAGCACACATGTTTTTTACCAGAGTGAGCAGACAACATACTGGTAGAACAAGATGAGGGAAAAAGGTCATACAGATAGGCAGAAACATTCTGCACAACAAAATCCGGGGGATAGCTGCCTTTGGATCTCGAAACTCACCCTGGCATGCCAACCGTCCCAAGAGCCAGAGATTTGGGGAGTGATTCTGGCCAACTGGAAGGAAGGAGTTGTAGGTCTTTCCCATCAGAGATGAAATGAGTTCTCCAGCCACTTCTAGCCACGACAAAGGCCCCCACTGTGAAAGCAGGATTCTTGCTTTCTACAATCCTGTTTAAAAGAAGGGAAAAAAAAAAAAATACCCTGTCAGAGACAAATCATTACTGGTTCTTCCCTCCTTTATTCCTGTTGCCCTGTGATGCAGGAGAAAAATATTTCACATCAGGACATTTAGCCCATGCCTGCTGATGCTGTAGGCTTCTGATGTCTTTCCTGAAATGTCTACAACCTCTCATCACCAGGGGGATACTGGGCAACATGATTCTAGACTCAGCCCTGCCCACAACAAATCCAATGTTCCCACATAGATGCCAACTTTTTTTTTGAGTAGCACCAGTCTGGTATGAATTCAGACTAGGCTAATGTGAGTTAGAAGGCAGGAAAGAGGATGCCGGGATGAAAGGGTGGAAAAGCAAGAAGTCTCAGATAGGCTGTAACAAGCAGTTCCATTCTCAGACAACCTGCACCTCATTTAAAGGCTGAAGATCCTGAAGATGGAGCCTCTTGGGGTAACAAAACCAGATAGAAAGCAGTATCTAGCAACAGGGAGAAGTTCATACTTGCGGTGTCTCTATGCCAAATGAAAATTCAACTTTGTTAGTCCAATAGGAAAACTACGTTGGGAAGGGGTAGGTAAGCAGCTTTGAAATATTGGAAACAGTTGGCCTTCTGTTCAGCAGGCTTGGTTGTTAATTTATCCCAGCCCTCAGTGTTCCTGCAGAGAAACACAAGAGTCAAAGGCCACAGATGTTCCTGGGCAGTAAATTAGAGGCAGCACAGCAGGAACAAGCTGACAAAGGGAAACATCTGTGTAGCTAAATTACCACAAGCTTGGGAAAGGATGGATTTAAGGTTAGATAATCCTCTGTCTAGAGCTGTATCTTAGGTGATGCTGAGGTATTTTCAGCTGGAGTACATAGCATGCATGGTTTCAGGCATGCAATTACTAGCACAGCAGATTTTAAAATGTGAAGTTGACACTTACAGCAAATACAATGGTCAGTCCTTCATATCTCTGCTTGTAAAAATTTCCTTTGAAAACATTATCACCAGAAATAACATATAGATTGTATCAGAGGCCTAAATGCTCTCCAAGAAGGCAAAAGAGGATCTTAGAGGAAAAACACATTCCAACCAATTACAGATAAGAATACAGTTGCAGAAGTATGTAGACTCATGTCCAGAACACGTAATGCAGGCTGCAGATGTCTCAAACATCAGTACATTCCTTCGAGATCTGCCATGTGTATGGATAACAAGAACTGAAGATCTTACCTGGCAACCTGTGTGCCTATCATTATGTCCCCTTCCTTCATGTCCCTTCGACTGTAAGGTCTGTAACGCAGGCAGAGAGATGGCTTACTGTAAGCAACTTTAATGATATTCCAGATATGCTATGAAGCAGTAGCTACTGTGTGACCCAGAAAGAGAGCATAAGCAGTGATGTTGACAGATCACAAAGAGCTTGTCATTGTAATGACATAACTGGATGTTTTCCATAGCCAGCTACTTGAGCATCCCATCTTGACTGAACACTGGGCTAGAGTGTTGGGGACACAACAGCATTAATCTTCCCAGCATGGTCCACCGCTACAAGAAGGCTGAGACTCCAAAGAACTATCTCTGACACTAGAGTCCACCAGACTTCTTCAAACTACCCAGTCTCCCTGTGCTTGGACTACCACCTATTAACATGGGCATATCAGCAATTTCCTACTTAGAATATGTGTCCTTAAGTACAAGGTTGCTAAGATAAGTGAAGCAGCTACTGCAACAGGGCTCCAGTCTTATTTGAGCCCATTGCATTCCAGTGGAAGAGACATGACAAGGAAAAACAGCAGAGTCCAAGAAAAGTCTAGGGCTGCAGCATCATTATCCTAATGTCTGGCTAAATCTGGCACAGCTCTATATTGGGAGTCTTGTAATTTACACGTTTTATAAAAAGCAGACAAAGGCATCTGGAACTCTGGCAACAGGGGATGCTCCCAGTACATGTTCCTTTGAGGTTTAAGTAGGAGACCAAATGATGTATCTTAGCCAGCAATTTAAAAAGAAGAAAAAGATATACCTCATGTAAGGATCAACACTGAGAAACACTGATTCAAGCAGCAACAAAAGACAAAGCAAATTCCCGGGCATTAGCAGGCAGTAAAGCATAGTTTCCACAAGTCAGTCTTTCAACAAAAGCTATAGGAATTCCTGACGGCTCAAAACCCCCATATCCCATTATCCTTTAGGGAAAAACTACCAGAAACAATGACTACATCTATTAGCTTTTTCTGGATTATCGCTGTGCTGTTGCAAAAGACACTTTCTGTAGTGTCTCTTTAGCAGGCTAGCTTCTTTTCAATTCTGTTTTCCTTTACCTGCCTCCTCTCTCTATAGGAGGCTCAAGAGGTCAGACCCCCTAAGAAAAACACTAACTTACTTTCGACCCAGATATAAAATGCCTTCCCATGATTCAACCAGCAGAGGGTAGTAAGAAACCTTGGCACAGGTCAAATATAAACACTGCTTTGCTGCCTTAAACAGAAAGCATTAGGCTATCTTTTCTAGGTAGCCTAATCCACCTTGCTGTCTCTAAGGCCACTAGTTCTTGTGAAATATACTGTTAAACAAATTTTAATTTAAATTCTCATTCACACAGCAGTTTTAGCTGTTCATCTCCACCTAATAATACTTTTCATTGCCTATGCTGCAATGGTCTAGCTAGTACAAGCTAGAAATATACTCAGATACAAATATTTTCCCATTACTCAGAGTGAGCAGGAAGAATAGTCAAGGCCATGTAACATCACAAGAAAGGCTGTCTCCTTTAAAAGTGTTAGTCCAGTATGAAGTTATGCCTCTTGCTGTAGGGATTAAAATGGGAAGGAAGAAATGACTCCATGTTCTTAAATACCCACAGGCATGAAATTTTTAAGTGTGTCTGAATGCTATAGAAGTACAGGTGCTATGAAAACACTTGAATGTATGTGTAAGAAGAAATCACCTTTAAAACCTTTAAGTTGTAAACATAACTAGTACTTTAATGCAATTTCTTTGGGGCACCTTCTAAACTGGAGTAAATTTTGTAAAGGACAAGTGGCGGGGTGAGGTTCAAGACAACATGGTACGGATGTCCATGTGAAGCCATAAATGGCTTCTTTTATAATTCTTTTATCAACAGCTCTTGCACAGAGTAAGTTATCATATTCCCTACCCTTTTTAAAATGGAGAAACACAGAAATAAAACCTGTGCATTTTTTTCTCTTTTTATTCACTCTCTTGCTGTCACAACAGGTCAAATATAACAGATTAGCACTGGCAAAAAAACAGATGTTGAATGCAGACAGAAGTCTTGCCTCGTTGCTTCTTAAAATGAAAGACCGGCCCTCATTGACTCCAGCCCCAAGGCCTCCCAGCTGCAGGCTCACTCCCAACCCAGTCACTCTGCTCTCCCCCAGCACTATCCTCAATACCTTCCCTATCAGCATGAAAAAAATCCAGTGAAAACCTACTCCCAGAGGCTACCATCTTCTCCAGCTTTCTCCAAAGGATTTTGCAAAATAAAGTAGATTAAAACCTTTCACCAGTAAAGCATGTTTGGGTTTTACTACAGTTATCTCATTGGCTCTGTGTCACGGCTGAGTTCTCTCTTTCTAAATTAAACGAATTCTGTTTCCTTGCGGCTGTGGGTTTTGAAGGCATATCACTTCAGCAATTTTCTCCAGTAAGCTTAATTTGCAAACACATTCAAATGCCTTTGCCATCAGGCACCGTGTGTAATTAGGCAGTGTGAGACTGAGAGGCATGTTGCAGCCGCTGTATGCTAGAGTTAGAAAAGCTCAGTTACTGTTTCTAAGGGTATTATCAGAAGGCAGCATGACTTAAACCCCACCAAACCCATCAGCATACATGTTCTTGAGCAATCACCCTTCTCTGCTAAGGCGCATGGCTTGCCACAAGCCGTGCCAACCCATTTTTGAAAATCCAAGCCAGAGAAACATACAAGCAGTTCTACAGATACACAGCCATTCGTCAGCAACCAGACAACCTCCGGAAAAAATAAGAAGAGGTGGCACTGCACTTACCTCCATCCTTTAGGTTTGGCAGCTCTATCTTTTTCAGGTCAAAGTCGCTGGTTTTGGGGAAACCCTCAAAATGCTTCTTCAGAACCCACACCTTGGCAGTCACCATCCTGCACAACAAACAGCACGGCCAAAGATCGCCTGTCAAAGAGATGCCCAATGGTGCTGGGCTTGCTCATGGGGGCTGCTTTAGACTTTACGAAGCGGAAATGTATCCTGATAACGTGCTGTCACACAAGACAGCTTCTACTTGCATCCTGTAGCAATACTGCCGGATCAAGAAAATGTTTGAAAAGCCCCCTCATTGCCTAAGCAACCCAGAGCTTCCTGCGACCTGCTGGACCTCCCTGCCTGCTGTCAGCAAACCCTGGTGTGGGAAATCAGCCCCAGCAGGATGTACGGCTCCACTCTAATGAAATTGAAGAGGGAAAATCTACTAGTTTAAGGAGAAAAAAAATCCTGGAAGGAAGAAAAATAAAACACTTAAACTCACTCTTTTGCCCTGATTACATGGGGTGAGTACTGAACCTAAACTTTTACAAGCTTGAACAAAAGTGCAAGTGAGAAATACAAAGGTAAGAAAGACCTCTTTCCGTGACACCCTGTATGTTGAAAGAAAACACTTCTCCAGTTGCCAAGCTCAGGACTTGGAACTGGGAGCACGTTGTCACCAGTATTTTCCATACAAGATGGAAACCAACAAATGACTTGCATTTGTTTCACCCTCACAGCCCCTTTTTCCTTCCTATAAGCAAGCGTATCAACAAGGGCAAAGAAAGAGAAGTTTATACTTACAGCAGGTAGGTAGAAAACTGTCTTCTACTGACAAGGCCAGTCAATAACCTTCTGCACCTGACTCGGTGGCTGGACTCCTTCAGTAACACACACCTCCTAATAGGTGAAGACATCTGCTTTTATCAACTGAGCAGGTACCGCCTGCAGCCCACTTCCCCAGGAGCAAGTGCAAATCCTCAGAAAACCTGGCACAGGGCACACTCAACGTGATTCACCTTTCTCCTATTAAGATTTGACATCATCCTTACAGACTGCTCCAATTCAGTGCCCAGCCAGTTGCACAGGAATGTTCTGCAATATGCCAAGCTAAACACACAAAACCCATGGTCCTAGAAACCACAAAATACTGCAGTCTGGAGACTGAGACTATCCCCCAGAGCAGGAGTTTCTTCAAACCACATTTTACCAGTCCAGCCCTAAAACTCTTAAGAGTTCTGCCACTGAGGAAAAAATATCTAATTAAAAATGAATATAAAATTCATCATTCAATCCATCGGTTAACATAGCGAATGATCCATACGTACGCCACTACCACAAGGGAACACTATCATGACATTTACATAGTGAGATGCCTGCAGGATCTCAAAGGACATCCGTACCCATGTGTGTGCTCTGACATCTTCACTGTTTCCAGTGCACGCACCAAAGGATCAGAGCTTGTGTGGCTACGCGTCTGCATGCTGAGATCTCTGTTCATTGCAGAGCCACCTTAAGAAACAGTAGCAAGCTTTGGCATTTTGCCTCGACTGTGTTGCAATGAGGCATGTGGCATGGGAGAAAACTTTGTCCAGGGACTATCTGTCTTCAGCTTTTATTTTTCTTGTGAAAATATTCAAGTAGAATATGAGGGTGGAAAGTGTAAAGAGACCAATATGTAGTGGCATGTTTAACTACAAAACACCTGAAGGCAAAAGTACTAATTAGGAACAGAGACCTGAGAAAATAAACAAAACTTTTTAAAGACACACAAGCAAGGACCAGGGAGAACAGGGCAAGCTCTCCATTATTTAGATAAAAGCAAAAGCCACCAGACCCCATAAACTCATCAGCACGCAGCAACTTTCTGTGATGAACCAGGGATATTCCTAGTTCCTCACATTAGGAGCGTGTGCTGGGGAAATCACCTATATCGGGACACGTATCATCAAGCTCACAGTCAAAGCATCCCGCATTCCTTAAGTGAGCAGCCAAAACCAGCATTCCTCACATCCCACATACAATCACAAGAACCAACGTCACAGAAAAGTTATGTGCAGCGATTGCCATCTGACTTACAAATGTTTTTTCTTAAAAAAAAAAAAAAAAGCACTCCCCTGGCATTTCTATCCGCTGCTGCATTTGCTTTGGTATTAACCGTGCTTATCTGTACTTTTCAGTAACAAAAGATATTGCGACACTGCAGCAACAACAAAGCAAACTCAGCAAAGGGGCTTACAAGAGCAAAAGGTGAGTTCAGAGTAACACAAAACTGATCCCGCTCACTCGCTTACACCCACAAAGGGTGCTTTTGTCACAGCAGCGTGTCCTACGTTCAGGTGTTGTCCCACAAGCGGGGTCCGGTACCCGGGGTACAATAAGCCAATCTTACACACAGAGCCGAGATATTTATTTATCTGAAGTTTGCACAAAGCTGGGTGCCAGGTGGTAATTCCACAAAGGTAGCACACCACACAAAAGAACTACAGCGTATTTATATTGTTACATGATTAGCAAAAAACCCGCCTAAGTTCGTGCTCGCTGGTTAGTTATGTTCAAATTAGCCTCGCTTGCCACGTAAATTAGCACGCATGCTCCTTGCGGGCGTGGGGGGACAAGTCTCTCCAGTCTTGCATTGAGTCGGTGGTCGCGATCTCCCCCTGCCGCCTTTACCTTTCCCCTAGTTACCGCAGTTTTTTGCTGACTTCTTGTTTCTTTGGCAATCATCTAGCCTCTGACGCCTTCTAGGGCAGGATGTTCCCCTTTTATCAGTCGTCTTCTTCAAGGGCGCAGTCGTCGTAAGGCGTGCATTGTTTATACAAGGTAATCAGGCCAGTGCAATGAAGACTACAGTCTAGGTATTAACCCAAACATATGGCCGCACAGACACAGGTACTCAAGTGCTCCAGCCAGGAATGACTGGGGACGAGGGATGCTGGCTAGGTTGGCAGCCACGCGCTGATGTGCCGTTTCTACCCCAGGGAGCCAACAGTGGTTCAGAAATGCTTTGTCTCCCACCCTGTCCCACCTCCGTGAGTCATCAGTATTGACTCCCTGCTTTTTGTCTCTTTTGTCTGCATGCCTCAAGGCTCCAGCCCTGTTCTTTACATTCTCACCATCATCTCTTAATAGCTTGGTTCTTCACTTTAGTCTGAGTACAGGAACACGCTGCCCCTTGGTTTAGGCTGTCCTTTGTTTTCCCTACCTGGTCCTCTAAGAAGCTGCACAAAGATGTGCTGTAATCCTGACGATCTGCAAATCTAGGTGCCATCAGTATTGGCCATTTCTCCCTCTCTTCTGCTGTTCCTTCTGGTGCTTCCACACTCAGACCTCCCATTCACACCAATATTCATATTCCTATCAAAAATTTCTACTTTTTGTGATACACAGATTTTTCAGCAGAGCAATGATCCCTCCTACAAACAATACTGAAAGGTTAATTTCACTGCACCATTTTTATTACATTTAGGCCTAACTTTGGGAACAGGACAAATTTTCTGCTGACCACTTCTCACCTTCTATTGAAATCACATTGTTGTAAATAGTTGCGAGATAAACGGCTGGATTAATCAAGCATAGGTCAAGCATACAAGCCCTAAGCTAACAATCACATCGTGAGATAGATAAGAAATAGCAGAAACCAGACAAGGACAACCAGAACTGTAACAAAGGGCAGGGATGAGCCAATTTGTGACCATGTAAGGAAAAGTTCACCTCCTGCAGAGACCACCAGAGACCACTAGAAACCATCCGAGACCCCTGTAGAATCTCCTAAAGGACTCAAAACGCATGCGTGAAAGACTATGCAGATATTATAATTAGTTCTGAGAAATGGAATGAATATGTATGATTATTCCAAGAAATGTGATGCATACATATATCGAAGAACCATATAAGGGATGGTTGATGCAACATATGGTGTGCATGCTAGGTGGAGAGATCCCCCATGCACCCAGTGCTAAATAAACAATGCCTGCTCTTTAATACACCCAGTGTTAAGGAGTTTCATTCCCGATTTTCAGTGACAACATTATTATAGCCACTTCAAGGCCAGGGGTGCTTTCTGTGGGCTGTAAAACAAAAAGCCCCAAACCAAACAGAAAACAGAACACAAACACACACTTGATGAATGGATTCACAAACCAATTTCCAGGTTAACAAACCAAGATTATTTTGTATGTTTAGATATAAAATCATAAGAACTGGTAGGCACTACATTGCTTAAGCGTATTAAAGAACTCTAAAGCGTAAACAGCAGTGATGCAACATTGCTGGGGTCCAGTAAAAGCATTACTGGACTAAGCATGTGATAGCTGCCATCGCAGCTCCAAGAGCAGTAACCATCGTGGTGTAAAACTACTTTGTTGTCAGTGTCAGTGGGTTTGAATAATACATTTCTTTTATGTGTTTTCTGTATAAAGTGTTTCATAGACCCTTACAATCATTACAGGCAGCTATGATAAAAACTTGAGAAAAGACAGTCCATGAAGGTAATAAAAACTCTTTGAAAAATAATTCACTTATAGCAAATCCCAGGAAAAAATTAAGGTGATGCATTTCTACCTGATATTCTTACAAAAGAACCATTAAAGCTTTTACTGAAATTGAAGTCCAAGACAGCATTTATTCTGATGTCCTTCAAACCCTCCTTGTCCTCTGGTCTAGCCCATCAAGCTAGCAAAGAATAAAGTTTTACATTGATCTCTATCAACTTTTTCCATAAAATCAGACACCTAGGAAAGAAGTAATGGATTGGGGAATCTCAGCTTTCTGCACTAACAATATACGTAAGAAAGCAAAGATCCAATCTGTGTTCAGACACTGCAGTTGGTGCAAACTGTAGCAGAGCTGCAAGCAAAGCACCTTCACACAGGTTATCACAACTCAATCCCCAAAATCAGCGCAGGAAAGAAGGTTCTCAATTCAGAGGAAAATGGGAGAGAAGGAGGAAGAGGTGAAAACTAGGATCCCATAGTAGATACTAGGAACTGGAAAAGAAGGTCAGGAATAAAAGAGAGGACAGACAAGTCCGAGAAAATTGAAAGAGTTTGACTGCAGGCTGAGGAGCTGGTGGCGATACCTGAAATCTGGGAATCTTGATGTTAAAGTAAAAGAGTAGTAAAGCTCTCCAGGGAGCATGAGTCAAACCAGCAAAGTTTACTTTCCTTAAGTAACCCCAACTAACATTCATATCTTGTGTGGTATGGTTTCCTAGCCTGGGCTTGCCCAAATCTAACCTTGAGGACAAAATCGTCTTAGAAGCCTGCCAGTTACAAGTAAGTTCAATTCAAATTTGGGGTTAGCTTAACAGTTCATCTTGCTGCCAGTCACAATTAATTTGCAGATATGCCTGTGGTACTTGTTTCCTTTTATCTCCATTCTGAAGCAGGAACAGCTATGCTCCCAGCTACACTGGAAGAAAAGGGTATGATTAAAAGCTAAGTAACGTAGTGTATCTCTCAGACATAATTAATTTGTAGATCAGGGCTAAGGAAAAAAACACCGATCACCACAACAGCAAAGTTGTTCAGGAAACCATCATCTCATCTAGTCCCTTCCTCCAGATCAATAAAGGCCTGTAGTGCACGTAAAAAATATGCTGGGGAAGACAGTCTTGGTTATTCCTGCCTTCCGTGGGATTGCTTTTGCTCAAGGACCTGGATGCACTTGGTGGATAATGAGGAAGGATGGGGAAGTCCGATGTGTACCTCAAGGGGATTTGATTTTGGGTGAGAATAGCCAATGATTTGAACTGTATGATGTTAATCGCTACATAATATTATACATCGTATCAATAGTATTACAATAAGAATCACCCAGATTAATGAAGAATGAACCTTGATGAAACTGAGCAATGTTCCAGTGATGATGGAACCAGAACTGACTTCAACATGAAACAATCCAACGCCGCATACCATCTTTCCTGCCCTGAAGGACTGTTATGACAGATGGAGCCCAAAGTCATGGACTACATGA